GCAATAAGGTTCTTATGTGGAGCACACAGATTAGTTTCATGTAGACCGCTGTTCTTAAAACAAGAAATATTAACATTAACTTCATTATGTATCCTAGAAACTTGTCAAATAAATATATAAATAAATCGAATATATCCTGTGTAACTCGCCAAACGGAGCACTTGGAGTTGCCTATTCCCAAAACTGAACTTATAAGAGACTATTTTATATACCTATAATGGTACTTATCAAGATGTACAACATACTTTGACAGATGTTGAGTCACATAATTTTGTTCTATTTTTATTTTAGATATATGTATTAACGTTAATTTATAATAATGTTTGTTTATATTTTATTGACTATTTATTTATTTATTTATTTGTGCTTTGTATTGTATTGTGTTTGTCAATAAGTATTTTAACTTTGATAATAAACATATATTCTGTTTCTCAATAACTACAAACATTTTTTAGAAGTTTTGAATATTGTATGGGTTAATTTTGTATATTTCTTTTAGACAGAGTTCGAGATAATTTAATGTGTCCATTATACTATATTCTCACTCTGTAGGTACCTATCTTTATATTCATAATAATTTCATTGTCCTTGCTTTTATTACTTCATTTTCTTCATCTTATTAATAAAACAGCTATGTATATATTATAAATTAAGAAAATAGATAGGTACTTAATTGTATAAATATATCAACTTACATATTAAAGACAGGTTTGCCATCACATATATAGGTTATTAAATCATTTAATAGTTAAGACTCTCCTCCAATCAGCACCCGCGATTTCTGTAATTTTTGTATATAAACATGATTAAAAAAGTTTTTTCGCCTAAAGTAATACCGTCCAAAAAATATTCTTGCATATAAAGGTATTCTTATTAGAATAAAACTAAAAAACTACATATATATTTGAGCATTCAAAGAGTACTGATTGGTAAATTATTATTATTATTATTACTTTTATGCATTTGATAGAACGCATTTCTGATATATATTAATATTGATCCCTTAGCAACATTTTGGACAGAGAAATATTTTAATCACCTCACTTTATTTATAACCGTATTTCTATTGCAAAATGCAAGTAACATTGCATGTTCAAATTGCTAAATGTTATGCTGTTATAGAGATACATAAATCACATAAAAAGCAAATGAGCATTAAATATCCGTAATTTGAGTATTCCTGAAAGTATGCAACATCTATTACAGTATCTCAATCGTTTAACAGTTCTTGATGTTATCGCTTACTTAAGTTACATAATCATCCTTTGGAAGAACAATTATTATGCAACTATAAACAACAAAATAACACAGATTTAGTACTGACCAGTTAAACTTTTTGAGATTCATTATTTACTAATTTCGCGTAATGTATGTATCTACGCGGAATTATTTGAGATCCCATGCGAGATGCTTACTAGCCCATCATAGCCAAAGTTTAATACATCCAAATCAGTGTTTCTCAACCAGATTTACACCAAGGACCGGTAAAATTTTTTAGTACGTTCTCGCAGTCTTGAAAAATTATTGCATCGAGAATAAAACTACTAAAACTTAAATGAAACTCCAAGAACATTATAATATGAATGATATATTTTTTAAATAACATATTATCAAAAACAACAACGTATCAAAATGTACAAATCAGAAGAGAGTAGGTAGATACAAAATAAGCAAAAAATAATTTATGAAACGGAAGAAAATAAAATCAGTGAGATTACTACTGGTCTCTGTTGCTGACTAAAGTGTCAATCCTAGGCGTTAAACCACTTACAGCAACACGTACAGTAGGCGCAAGAACAAGTCGATTTCGATGTTTTGTCTTAATAACAGTCATAACAAAAAATGTTTCACACAAATAAGTCAAGGACACGACTTTTTTGGAACAGAACCTGATGTAGGATGTGTCAGGGCGAGAATTTGGGCGTGAGACGCCGCTTTTGGCAGAAAGCGTCGATATGCTTCCACTACTTCAAGCGAACACGGACTCGATATCACAGAGATATACAGTCCATAAGCCATATAAAGTTATAACAAAACAAATTGAAGAGCCGGAAGTGGAAAATACGACTCATATCTGCACCGACGGTTCTAAATCAAAACAAGGCTCAGAATGTGGAATATACTCCAGTTCCTTAAACCTAAACATTAAATGAGCTGAGCTCACATGGATTCTTAAAGCAGCAGAAGAAGCTATCAGAAACAATATTACTGGAAGGAACATGCTCATTTTTACAGATATCAGACAAGCACTACTCACCCTGGACAGATAACAAATTTACTCATGGTAAGTACTAGAATGTCATAAAGCTTTGGCCGAAGTATCCATCAACAATGTGGTCACCTTAAGATGGATCAAAGGTCGCGCCACATCGAAACGTAACCGTCTTGCTGAATAACTAGCCAATAAGATAGCCAATAAGATAGTCAAACAAATACTTTTTAGACCTGGCCCTTCTATTGGATTGGCATTAGTAGTGGTAAACCTAATTGAAGAATACTCCCTTGTGAAATTCAAGAAAAGTTGGGATGACACAAGAAGCTGCAAAGTTGCCAGTGATTTTTTAAGTTGTTCTGACAACACTACAGCAAACACATACCTACTTGATTATGACTAGACAGAATCTGCGACTTATCTCAGGCATTTTGACTGGTCATTGCCAAGTACGAAAATATCTTCATTGCATGGGGCTGTCAGAATCCGCACTTTGCAGGGGGCTCTGACAAGACGATCGAGCATATCTTCTACGATTGCCTGATGCTTCCACTTATTAAAAGATTTGTGTTCGGCGGAAATTTACTAACACCGGCCATTATAAGAGAAGCACCTCTTGGTGACGTTGCCAACTACATCAAATCTGTAGGCTAACTCATGAGCTAGGAAGTGCCTATCAACTTAGGAAGACACAGAAAAGGCTTAAAGAAGCCTAAGTGATAAATTGAGGAAAAAGCCAATAACATCTTCAACTCCTTTGCATAAAGATTGGAATATTCTGTTGTAGCCTTTATTCAGAACTGATATATATTTACTAAATTTAACTATGGTTTAAGTTCTAGATCTGAAGATAGTTCAAATAGTAGTTTCATCGATTATAGTAGTAAGATTGTTATTGTAATTATTAATAAATAGATTAATTATATACAGATTACCTGCACGCACATCTTCAGGGATATAGTACTCGTCAAGTGCTCCAAAAAGACGCTGGTAATGCTTCTCTGATGAATGTTTTCAGCATTAAGGTAATCAAAGAAAAAAGCAAACATCTTAATAAAAGTGTTTTCTTCCACACACGTTCAATTTCTTTTTGAAAGCATGAATCTTATTGTAGAAGTTGAAGACGGTACTGTTTTTGACTTGAAGACTTCACTTTAGTTTGTTTATCAGTGAGAATATCTGGATTTGGTATAAATCGGGAATTTTTCAGGACATATAAGATTTAAATAAAACTGCGTGAATTTTTCGCGGACCGGCGGTTGAGAAACACTGATCTAAATTGCTCCTCTCCAAATAGTACAATTCAACTTCATCCTGAAGCGTAATCTTGCATGGGCTCTTAAATAATTCCTCATTAATGTCATATTCTGTACTGGAAAATTTAGTTCGGAAATATTGTTGGCTTAGTAATTACAGTAATTAATTACAGATTACAATAATTAATTGAAATAATTACAATAATTATAATAATTACAACAATTAAAGTAATTACAATAATTACCGTAATTAAAATAATTAAGAGTAATTACAGTAATTATAGTAATTACAATAATTACAGCAATTACATTAATTGTAGTAATTGCAGCAATGAGTAATTACAGTAATAACATCAGTTATGTTAATTCTTACAATTACAGAAATAACCACAATTAAGTAATTGAAGTAATTACAGCAAGCATATTAATCACAGTAATTACTACAATAATTACAGTCATTACACCAATTACAGTAATTACATTAATTACATTAACCATAGCATTCATAGTAATCACGACAATCACATCAATTACAGTAACTATAGTAATTACTGTAATTATATTAATTACTGTAATTGTACATATTGCACATTAGACATATTATAGTAAGTACATTAATTATAGTAATTACAGTAATTACTGAAATGAGTTATATCCAGTATTTTATGGTCAACTACCAATATAATAAATTTTCGAAAATTCATAGCTTTTGTTTTAAATTGAAGCAGTATTAAGTTTTTAAACTACGCTTCATTTTCACATGAATACAGTATGTGGTATCGGCATAGTGTGACGTGATAATAATATTTCCCTACCTATATCGACTAAAAGAATACTTTTTGAGAATACATAATTGATATATATCTATTTTAAAATTGTGGGCAAGTATTTGTTACGACAAACATTTAGAGGAACAATCAGTTAACAGGGGATTTGGTACATAAAGTTTTTAAAATCATACCTCAATACAATAGGTATACACAGTCATGTATTACTTGAATATTTGTAGAACAACGTACAATTTATTTATCTATATAAGACGTTTTAGGTGTTTTAAAATCTTGTAGATATATTTGCTATTTTATTCAATCAGTCATAGAAATGTTTACCTCTTTCCTGCCTTAAATAATAACTTAATTATCATGTCTAGATATTATGTTCGACCAGTCGCTGCACCAATGGTGGATTAAAATTAACATTCCTAGCAAATCCTAAACAGAGAACAATGTTGCCATGAGGAAGATGATTGATGCCAGAGTAACAGTAGCACCAATTCTTTTAAATATCAAATAAAAAAAATTCATTTATAAGAATATTCGAAACAAGTGTCTTATTCAACGAAAGTGCCTAATAATTTGTATGTACAGGCAACCAACATTACGTGCGTGCATTTAGTATTGCCATTAATAGCATACTTTTTATAACTAGGAAAATTGTAATTAAAAACCAAATAGGTTACTCAGAGTAGAAAAGACATTTCATTCTAATAAAATAATATTCATATGTTGTTCTACTGACATAAGATCAATCATTTATATCTCATAATTGCGGAATTTATTGACGACCGAGCTCGGTGGATCTGCACCCCATGCTGATCCGGTACCGCGGCCTCCCCAGTGAAGGTTTGCACCTCCTTCGGAAGCTCGTCGATGAGCTGGCGAAGTGGTAGCTGCACCTAAGCTTGACGGACCCGAATTTCCTCCAGATTCCAACATGCGGTCTTTGGTTTTTGGACTGCTCCAGTGCATCGACTGCAAATTAAAAAAGAATTAGTTATACCTACAGTTAGATAAAAAACACTTTTATTGTATGAAATATCTTATAACCATTAGAAGAGGGTTCCTCGAAGAGAAACGCTATGTTATTTGTATTTCTTTTCGAGGTCTACCAAATCTGAAAAACTTGTCTAGTGTTGTTTTTTCGGATAGGTAACTGTAAATTTTGTAAAAATAATTGTCACATAGATCTTTTTTTGTTTATTTTAACAGTATGAGTAGCAACACAGTTCTGCTACACGGCTAGTGCAAAAATATAAACAGGGGACATAGTTGCGTTGTGATACTATTAAACCTTTTGAAACTGAGAACGATATGAAAAGGCTCCTACTCTAGACACATTATAGGCCAGAGTTATGAAAAGTTAAAGGCAAAGGGACAGGGTTCGTATTGTCAATGACCAGTCAAAATGCCTGTGGTCAGACGCAGAGTCTGTCTAGTCATAGCTTAAATTTCATAAGGGAATGTTCTTTAATTAGATCTGTCACTACCGATTTTGTCAGTCCAATAAAAGAACCAGGTCCAAAAGTATTTGATTGGCTCTGCCTTCTTGGCTATTGAATCAACAAGACTATCTTTCGATATGGCGTGACCTTTGATCCATCTTAAGATGACTACATTGTTAAGGAATACTTTGGCCAAAGCTTCGTGATATTCTAGTACCAAATCTAAGTAAATTCGTAGTCTGCCCAGGGTGAGTAGTGCTTGTCTGCTACCTGTATAGATGAGCATATTCTTCGTGATATTATTTCTGATCACTTCTTTTGCTGCTATGAAAATCCCCGCGAGCTCGGTTTGCACTACACTGGCACTATTACTTAGAGCCCATTTTATATTTAGGTTTCAAGATCTGGAGTATATTCCACAACTTCTAAACCTTGTTTTATTTTAGAACCGTCGGTGTGGATATGAATCATACCTGCCACTTCCATTCCTTCTATTTGTTTCGTTCTTATTTTATATGACTTATAGAGGATAAAAATGCTAAATACATAATCTAATTCAAATATTTCCTATTACCAAAAAGAACATTTAAAAATTATATTCGCATTATAATAATGTTTAAAAATAACTGTTGGCAAAGCGCCGGCATCGTTGGCGGCCTTGTACGTAAAGTCGACCAGTGGAATAACCTACCTACCTACCGACACACACGCTTGCACAGGCTGTCGCTAAACTATTATTTATCTGGGCCACATGATGAAGCTCTGTGTGCTCTTTGAAACACCCGCGCGGCAGTCCGCTACCCGCGCCATGGTTAAAACAAACCGGTGATTTAAGTGGAGAGTTCGCTGCAATTAGTCCAGCTCACCGCGTAATATGTACGGTGTCAATTTTTTCGAATTTTTTCGCGACTCTTGAGTATACGGCGGGTTAAAGTTAAAAAAAAAAACAATTTTAAGGGCGTGGGTCTTCAATTTAATTTATGTAAAGAAGTTTTTTAAATATACCTACATACGAAGAAAAGATGGAAATTAAAGCAAAAGGTAGGCCATTACCAGATATAATTATAGAAAAAAAAACTGGTGTAAGTAAAGAAGAAAGTTACACACAAATATTTAATAGAGATATTTATTCAAAAAACGAATGGATCTGTGGATGCAACAAAAAATGCACAGTTCTGTTTTCCCTGTTTACTTTTTGGTGGCAATAAAGTTTGGATGGAAATAGGGGTCGCCGATCTAGAACACTTAAGTTTAAAGATAAAAAACACGAAAACTCTAAAAGCCATCTTCATAATTGCATGGAATTTGCGTTGCTAAGGACAACTAATATTATGGCTCAAGTAGATTCTGCTTATTGGTTAAATATACAGAGACCGAATGAAAATGTGTCAGAGAATAGATATATTTTATCCAAAATTATTAATTGCATTAACTTTTGTGAAGCTTTTGAAGTGGCTCTTCGTGGACATGATGAGAGCGATTCTTCCGAGAATCCGGGGCTATTTAGTGGACTCATGAATTTCTCGGATGAATTAGATGCAACTCTAAGTGACCACCTAAAATTTTTTTCGGTATTTTTAAAGGCACCTCTAAATAAATACAGAACGATCTGTTACAGTGCATGCTCGATGTCTATCAACAACGGATGTTGCTGCAAAAACTGGTAGTTATATTTAGATATGTGAGCCAATGGTGAGCCAATTGAACGTTTTTGGAACTACTTAATTCCTGAAAAATGTGATGCAGAAACACTTAGTAAAACAATTTTAACTGATGGAACTTTTAATTCAAAATTCACTGAACAAACTGATTGTACAAAGTTATGATGGAGCCACGGTGATGAGCGGCCAACACGCAGGAGTTCAAGCAATTATTACTATGTACATTGCTATGCCAATCAGTTAAATTTAAATATGTCTAAAGCTGCTTCTGCAAATTCGCAAGTACGTGTATTTTTTGGAAATTTACAAGACATTCCGGGCTTTTTTAATAATTCACCCCAGCGAGTAGAAGTCTTAAACAAGATGGTGAAGAGAAGGATCCCCCACGGCGCTACAACCCGTTGAAATTTTAATATAAGGATCATTAATGTTGTGTACGAAAATAGAGCGTTTCTCATTGAGTGTATGCATGAAATAGAAGAACAATTCACCAACACAGTCTGTAGTGCAACCTCCTCTATTCGCCGTACATTAAATGATCTGATCTTCAATTTTTGGCTCAATTTTTTTCATCATGTGATGCCCCACGTAGACATCCTATTCAATTAACTGCAGCAAAGAAAAATTGAACCCACTCTAGTAAAAGACGCTATCGATAATTTTGAACGCACTCAAGTTCGAAATAATATTGATGGCAACATTACTGAAGCATCAGATATAATAAGCGATCAGCCTCCAGAAAATAAACGCAAGCACCCAGGTAATAGCAGATTTGATCATCGGATTTCTGCTTCAGAGGTGTGTGACGTTATCCTAAATTATGCAAAAGATCGATTTGATTTTAAAGGGCATCTAGTAGTTGCCTCAATTTTTTTTTGGGAATGCTTTGGAGAGTATTGTGGTGAATTTCCCGAGGATAAACTCACTTCCGCATGCTCTTTTTATCCCATACTTGACTAAGAATGATTACGAACTGAACTGTCTGTTATTCAAGAAATGATTGCAGGACATTGAATGGCGCCCTACCTCTACTAACATTTTTAATATCAAACAATCTAGGAGATACGTTAAAGGAGACTACAAAATTATTAGAAATTGTGGTAACAACTATGACAACATTAGAGGCCGAATCATGTTTCTCAACACTAAATCGAATCAAAACGTTTCTCAGAAATTCAATGACCGAATATCGTTTAACAGCTCTTTCCTTGCTATCTATTGAAAAAAAGTTTACCTCCTAAATAGACAATTTTAATGAAAAAAAAAAGAACGTAGGATAGACCTAATTTATTAAAAATGGACTGTAAAATCGCAGTATCTGTTTACGTCATTTTTATAAAACATTTTGTATTTTGTTTGAAGAAAATAGAGTACAGTAAAATAGGGCTTGGTGATTCTTTTTTTTTGTGTGGCAATCGTTCCAGCAATCCATTATTCAGCAAGCACGATAACATCGATGGGACTTTGACTAAGATGACAAACCCCCTGAAAGGTAAGCTTTTTTGCAAAAATTGCAGAACACCCTAAAATTTTTACCACAATCCGCCACTGGGATATATCTCGGTGAGATGGAGTCCATGTTCGCTTGAAGCAGTGGAAACGTATCAAGCACCTTCTGCCAAAAGCGACGTCTCGCTTCACCAGATTCTACATCAGCTTTTATTCCAACCACAGGTAGAAACGAGATTGGTCGATCTTAAAGTTAATATACTTTGCTTAAAGATGCTATTTTATTATTGTGGATTTTGCTGGTTTTCATCATTATTACCTCAGCAGTTTTATATAGTAGTGGAACATGTTGAATCCTTTATTTATTATGTTGGTCAATTGTATTATATCTTTTCGTGGTAATTCCTTTAGTATCTCTCCTGTGAACAGATCTAACCTGGGATATTTTTTTAGAATATTATTTCTTAATTATCTTTGAACTTGTTTAGTTAATAATATTCTCTCTATATGATTAACGTTCTTTTGGTTATCCATTTCAATTTCATCACCTTCTCGGGTGTGTGAAGTTAGCATCTCAAATCTCAGCATCTCATATTTTAGGCATAGTTCTTATGGCATCCGCTATAGTTCTATAGTTCCTGATACTTTTTAGTTCTGTCGAATTTAGTACTGAAAACTGCAATTTTAAAATGAGATGCTAACGACCGGAAGTTAGCATCCCAATATAATGAATAAAATAAAATAAAAAAGCAAACGCATCTTATTATGGTCTATAATTTCTGTTTGTTATTATTACTTAAAATTACTGAAACAGTACTAGAGGCTAGAACTCGGTTCTCAATGCAGAGAGAGTGAAGTTATCATTTAGAAGCATTGTATATTCTAGATCGCATCATAATATAACTGCATCTCACTATAGTCTATAATTTCTCTTTATTATTAATAGTTAAAAAAATTTTAAGGGTGCTAGAGACTAGAACTTTTCGAGATTTCATGCCGACATAGTCTGGTTATCATTAAGAAGCGTTATATATTCTAGAACTTATCATAATGTGCCATGGTGCATGATCTATAATTTCTGTTTTTTATTAATACTTAAAATTATTCAAAAAGTGCTGGAGGCTAGAACTCTTTAGTACTACATGCAGAGATAGTCTAGTTATAATTTAGAAGCGTTATAAGCGTTATAGTATATTCTAGAACCCGTCATAATGTGCCAGCATCTCATTATGGTCTATAATTTCTGTTTGTTATTATTAATTATTACTTAAAATTACTGAAAAAGTGCTAGAGGCTAGAACTCCTTGGTTCTCAATGCAGAGAGAGTCAAGTTGTCATTTAGAAGCATTGTATATTCTAGATCTCGTCATAATATGACAGCATCTCACTATAGTCTATAATTTCTCTTTATTAATAATAC